TTCTTGCCTTTCTAGTTATAATGGAATTAATGTCTAGGCTTTAATTAAATGTACAAGGACTGGTTATAATTTTCATCATTTTATAAGGCTTTGTGTATCTTTTTCTTCTTACTGCAATTGATCTATGAAATGCCATGATAAAAATCCATGTATTTTCACCGTTGGATACTATATTATTAGTCGGCTTTTCTTCATGTAATCAGCACAAGAACCCAGTGCCATGATGGCTATTCACAAAGCTACTACTCCTATATGATAATGGAATTACTTTTCATAAATTTATTGTAAATAATTATCATTCCTTGTCCAAATCACACTTTTTTATTGGTCAGGATATTATTCTGACCAACACACGTTGATAATGCCAATCCTCTGGCACTAAATGTACAAGTTTAACCACTTTAAAATTCAATTCAATTTTTTAACATGTGAAGAAACCAATTTTGCTTAAAAAATGATAAAATGTTTTTTAAGTGACATTATCACGCGCTACATATCAAAGTGATAATCAAGATCACTTCTGTTTATTCTGAATCACAAATTTTGTAACACATTGTGATATTATATGGTTACAATATAGTATGCATTAAAAATTATAAATTAAAAAAAATGAGAAACTTAGAAACATGTTTATCATGTGTATCTAAATATGCTTTACGCTAAAATAGGTGATAAATCTAAATATAAAGCATTTATTACTATAAATATATACTGCACATTTTATACCAACTACTTGATGCATAAGAGATAAGAGTTCTGAATATCCATTCAATGCTCTTAATTTTGATCTCTTTGCATAATAAGAGTTTCTTGTATCTCCATTAAGCAATTAGATCTAATTCATTAACTTCTTGTTTATACGTTCTCATTATTTTAATGATCCCTTAATCGTTTCATCCTGTGTTAATTGATTACATTTCAACTCCTTCTAGTAATTCAATATTCTGAACCTTAGAATATGCAAAAAGTGATTCTAATTTTCGCATTCATCGAGAAAAACTACCATAAATTTTGTTTTTCTTAAATTACTTTTAGTGCAGCTTAGAACACTGCTTGCAATCAAAGTCTTTTGAGACTTGCATCACTTGCTTTAAAAAAAAATGAGATTGTTGATGAGCTTGCAGCATTGACGAATTTTAAAAGTGTGAGCATCCTCCTCTAATAATTATATGTTGTTTTAAGTAATAAGTTTATTGTGATAATAACATGCCCAATTTTTTTTGATAATCTTCTCAAGCATTATGTTTGAAAATGATTCTCGTAGGTTTCGATAGAAGCCAAATCCAAATAATGTAACTGCTTCATGATGATGATATGATTCTTGTTTATAATATTCAGATGAACTTTAAGTGTCCGTCTATGTAATATAATTTAAAGAAAGCAAATTTTACAGTTGATGAACCACTGAGATATTAAAAAAGGAAAAAGTTGTTATTATCATTTATTTAAAATTTTTTGAAAAAATAAGATTATATTCTAATATAATGGATAATAGATTATAATTAAGAGTGTGAATGAATATAAATTTGATATAAATATTAATAAATGATATAGTAATTGAATTTAAAGTTAAGATGTTAAAAAGATGATCATAAGGATGAAATAGACATGGTATGTTACAATTAGTTTTGTACAGAATTCAGATTAAATTGTTTTAAATGCATTAAGTAAGGAATCCATCAACATCATTTGGATGATGTTGAAAAAATCAAAAATCTTTAAGAATTCATTGAAAATAAAAATAAAGAATGTGATGATTTGATTGATTATCTTAATTAACTTGTAGAAAGTATGAATAAGTCATTTACTTAATTTAAAACTGGAATCAAACATAAATATTCATTATTAAAAGAAAGATTGTAACATCTAAATTAGAATTAAATCAATGATTTTTTTAATTCAATCATCAAATTTACTGAATACAAATAATCAATTACAACCATCATTTCAGAATGGACAAAGAAATTAACTAATTCATTTAATAATTTATATGAATAATTATAATTATCATCAATTAATTATTATTAAAATTCAGAGGAGAATATAAAACTGTCTAAAGAGCTTTATGAAATTGGTAATCATATCATTATAATATCATAGGTTATAAGTTATATATCGATGATAAGTATAACTAAGCCATAGTAATATTTGATAAATCAATATAATAAGATCCTAATAACCATTTATCTTTATGTCGTAAAGGTAAAATTGATGGATGATTAATAGGCGAATGTTTAAAATTTTTAGTACAATATGAGAATGCTATAATTTGGTTCAATAAAGCATTAGCTATTGATCAAGAAGCCATGTTAATTCCTTATCCAATAAAGGT